CAGGGTCCCACTGGTCCACCTATCTACCTGATGGCTCTCAAAGGCTCTCAGGCTGGGAGCACCTGATAAAGGACCTAGGTCTGAGCTTGCTGCCCTGTCTGCAGCCCTGGACTGTCCAATACGGTGTCTGGCGCTCTGAGACGGAGGGTGGTGGTAGACGTGGGAGTGGGAGGCTTTCTCCACTGGGAGACAGAGAAGACTTGAACTTTGCCCTCCAAGCCTGACGCAGACCCAGCAGGGGCTTAGGCTCAGGGGCTCCTAGCTGCAGGGGGTGAGGGGGTTATGCCACCGTCTCTCACTGCCTCCGTCTTTCGCACTGGGCGGGACACCGCTCAGAACGGCTGCTTCTGACTGCCACCTAAGCCCCGATCTGCTGTCTGCTTCCACGTAGTCTAAGGGTCACGAAAGTCCAAGAAGCCTCCTGGGAATGTGTCACCTTCCAGCGTGGCGTCACACTGGAGAGGGAGGTTGGGAATGCAGCCTGGTTAGGGTTTAAAAGTCAGGCCGGCTGGGAGCTTTGGTCAGCTCACACCAGCACAGGCGAGCCGTCGGACACCTCTCCTCTGGCCTGCTCTGATTCCAGAAAGGATCCTGTGTGGCAGGACACTCCTCCAGTCCAGCGAGGAGCCCAGGATGTCCCTGAAGGCTGTGGTCCTGACCCTGGCCCTGGTGGCTGTCACCAGTGAGTAGAGCTGCCTTTGGATGGGGTTCCTGAGTTGTCACAATGAGTAGCAGGGTGAGAGGCTGGGCCAGGCACGAGAAGGGTTCTGAGGGCATGGCAGCTCCAGCTGACAGAGGGGCTCCCCAGTGCCCACTGGCTCATGGGAGAGCTGGCCCAGGCCCAGCTGTAGGCCCCTTGGCACTGGTGCTGTACCAGTTCCACATGTGCCTGTGGCTTCTGGCTAGCTAAACCCAGAGAGGGGGACGGTGGGTGGGGCTCGTCCACCAGAGCAGAGCTGGTGCAGAGGGGCCAGGAAGGAGATGGGTCCTCACAAATTGCTCTCCTATCCTTCGCAGGTGCCCGGGCTGAGGTCAATGCTGACCAGGTGGCCACTGTGATGTGGGACTACTTCAGCCAGCTGCGTGATAATGCCAAGGAGGCTGTGGAACATCTCCAGAAGTCTGAACTCACCCAGCAGCTCAAGTACGAGGGGCACAGGCTGTGGGATGGAACTTCTTAAGGGCCGTGTAATGCATCAGCACCGGCAGAGCTGAGAGGCAGAACCTGAGCTTACAATACCCACTGCCCTGCCACTAACTCGCTGGTGACTCTGAGGTCTCTGATTGAGGGTCCACATGTGTAAACGGGGAGGCTGGATGTAGCAATCCCTAAGGTGTCTTCTTGCTTGACTGTTCTACACTCTGACAGAGGGCCACATCCCGTCACTGAGGCTCATGGGAAAAAGGCAGGGGGAGAGATGCCACGTGAGCTGTGCTCTAATACACCGCAGCTTCCCACAAGGACCTCAAAGCCCAGCCTTGTACTTACAGACAAGAAGGGGAACGGAAACTGCTCAAGGTCACACAACTGTTAGATGTAGGAGACCCAGAGCTAGAAACCCAGTGTAATGACTTAGTCTGTTACATCCACTTTCCAAAGTCGTGACCCACCAGAGGGAGGGCCACAAGGGAAAAGATGGGTGAGCCCAACGCCCCTGTCCCAGGCAGGTGTGTATGAGGTGAGTGGTGGACAAGGGACAAAGTCCTGCCATGTAAAGCCAAGTGTAACAGTGGCTTTCTGGTGCCTTTCCTCCACAGTGCCCTCTTCCAGGACAACCTTGGGAACATGAATACGTATGCAGATGACCTGCAGAAGAAGCTGGTGCCCTATGCCACGGAGCTGCAGGAACACCTGACCAAGAAGTCCGAGAAGGTGAAGGAGGAGATTCAGAGGGAGCTGCAGGACCTGCGGGCCCGGCTGCAGCCCCATGCCAGCGAGGTGAGCCAGAAGATCGGAGAACACGTGCGCAAACTGCAGCAGCACCTGGAGCCCTACACCGAGACGCTGCGCACGCAGGTCAACACGCAGGCGGAGCAGCTGCGGCGCCAGCTGACTCCCTCCGCGCTCCGAGAGAACATGGACAACCTGCGAGCCTCGCTGACACCCTACGCCAACGAATTCAAGGCCACGATCGACCAGAACGTGGAGGAATTCAAGGGGCACCTCACCCGCTATGTCGACGAGCTCCAGACCAAGATCGACCAGGCGGTGGAGGAGCTGCACCGCGGCCTGACCCCCTATGCGCAGGACGTCCAGGAGAAGCTCAACCACCAGCTGGAGGGGCTGGCCTTCCAGATGAAGAGGAACGCCCAGAAGCTCAAGGCCGAGATCTCTGCCAATGCCGAGGAGCTGCGGCAGAGGCTGGCGCCGGTGGCCGAGGACCTGCACAGCAAACTGAGAGACAACACCGAGGGGCTGCAGAAGTCGCTGACCGAGCTGAGCAGCCACCTCGACCGGCAGGGGGGGGGGGGCT